AAAAAAAAAAAAAAAAAAAAAGGTAAACTCACAACTGGAGCTAAAAGGGAATGCTGTTTAAATCAACTATTGTGGAGTATGGTATAAGACAGAGCTTTGTTTTTAAATACTAAAAACTTGCCACTACAACTGCAATAATGTTGACAATCTCAAATTTCTAGCTTAAATTAAGCTGGGTCTCCTTCTATCTTGTTCCACCAATGGGACCCCAAGTGCACTATGGTGATGGGGACAGGGCTGAGGAGCAGGTTTTTTGTTGTTTTACAAACTGTCTGACCAGCCCATACCCACATAACCAAAACACATTCTGAACTTGGTTGAATATTTGAGAAACGCAAATGAGTTAACAGAAGAATAAAATAAAGACACGATAAGCCTAGTGACTTGCTTTCAAAAACTTCAATATGAAAAAGGGAGAAGAAACACAGCTTTCCAATGGACTAGCCAGTGCACGTGCCCCAGCCAGTGGTCAAGGTTGTGGTGTCAATGGTGGCAGGCTTCGTGCATACGCTTCTGTGGGTGGGAAACACATGGCCCCTCACCTCTGTGACCCTGTCCCACCACTGTGCCTACAACTCAGTTGACCCATAAGAAAACATCACTCAACCCCAAAATAAGGACTGCTCTCAAAGTTATCGTCCCATACTCCTCAAAACTGTGAATGATGGACCTCACAGGGACAATGAGAGAGGCTGCCACAGCCCAGGGAGAGGAAGAACACACAAAGAAGAACAAAACTGTGGTCCTGGGAGACAGAAAGGTGCTAAAATCTGATTTGGAGAGTAGTTACTAAGTATGGGCCAGAGATCGCTCATCTTTTGTGAGGAATACACCACGGCAGCATAAGATGTTAACCCCAGAGGACAGTGTGGGGAGCCCGAGAGGACTCTGAACTGCGTCTGAAATCTTTTTTAATTCAAAACTTATAAAATTAGATAAGTGAAAAAGCCATCCTGGACAATCATTGGAGAGACATATTGTTCTGATTTGGTGTGATAATGCGTGCACACATGTGCACATGCACAAACATATAAGCATACACATGCACTCCATGAAATGTATAGTAGGTTCCTGACTTATGAACGTTTCAGTTTCATACTTTTACAGGTGTACCGTAGAAGATTCAAGGGTGTACTGTGTAAGACTCACTTTGTCAGATTACAATTGAATTCAATTTATGAGCCTTCTGGACAGAAACTCTTTCATAAGTTCGAGGCTTACTGTATAGTTAACAGGATTTATACATAGAATGTGCAGCATGAAAGGCAACTATTTTTGAGACCTGGGACAAGGCCAGACAGTAGGCCTCACACTCCTGATTTGGCTTCCACCAGCTCAGAGCCTGCTGAAAGCTCGTTTCTACACAATGTCTATCTGGAGAAGGGTTCAGGGGAATCAGGAATCTGCTTTCAGCTGTTTCCTCTCCCTGAGATCACCAGAGCTGAACTAGCCACTGCCCACCAGCTTGACCAGGGCCTTCCCCGGAACTGAGTCCCTGCTAGTGACATCATCCCCAACTCCTCCTATCTCGTTAAGGGTCTTGGGGATGGGAATCATGAGGACTGGTGCGGGGATGACATTGGGAGTGGGTTACTCTGACTCCTCCTCCTATTTGGCCAGGTTAAACTGGATTTGCAGATGGCCCTAGATAAGAAATAAGCCATTCACCAAAGCTGGTTTATCTTGAAAAACCTTCATTTGCCTTCCTAGGAATCAGGCTGCTTTTAGAACAGTATCATGTAAGATAATTCCAGGTATATGTTCATAAACGAGTTTTGAACCACAAAAGCAATGTTTTCTTTCATTGAAATCAGTATGTGGCCCTACCCCTGGGGCACACTGAGAGGGCAATTGAGACCGGGAGTGGTAGGGCATGCCTGCAATCCTAGCTCTTGGAAGGCTGAACACAGCTGGATCACTACAAGTCCGATCTACATAGTAAGACCCTGTAGACCCTGTAC